CCGCGTTGACGGTGCAGCCGTACACAGGAGGCAGCTCCTTCGCCCACACCCTAATCATGGCGTCAAGCGTCCCCTTGCTCGCAGCGTATATGCTCTGATTCACCTCCGGCATCCGCGACGCGACGGAGGCCACAATGATGATTCGCGATCCGCCTCCGGTGGCCGCTGTTGCTGAACTCGGCTTCGTCGCGCGCGGCTCAAAAGGCGTGAGATGCGCCAGCGCCTCCTTGACCAGAAGAAACGCGCCCCTGGAGTTCAGATTGAGCGCCCGATCCCACGTATCCGCTTCCGCCTCTCCGAGCGGCCCGAGAGGCACCATGCCGGCGTTGCTGACTAGAATGTCGATCTGCTTGAACCGCGCCACGGCCGCGGAGACCAGGGCCGCAGGGCCCGAGACGGTCGACAGGTCGGCGCAGACGGCTATCCATGGCGTGTGAAGCTTGGCGCCGATCTGCTTGCACTCAGCCTGCAGGTGTTGAAACGGGTAGTTCAGGACGATGTTTGCGCCGCGGGCGGAGAGTTCGATGGCGATGGCGGCGCCGATTCCGGCTGAGGAGCCTGATATGACGGCTGTTTTGCCGTGCATTGAGACTTTTTGCGGATGGTCGGGAGGAGACATGTTTGTTTGACGTGTTTTGGGGTTCTTGAGTACAAGCAAGTTGTCTTTCCACTGACATGAAGAAGTAGACAACGTGAACGACAAGTAAGAGAGGTTTCCTGGAGACGCAAGGGACGGCCCAGGCAGACGCTCCAGACTCGGTATTCATAGTTGCGAATCGACTTCTATTCCAGAGCAAACACCGGTACAACCGAATTTGGTTTAAGAAAGCAAGGTTAAGCTCAGATATCGGAGTCAACGTTCGGAGTGCGGAAGGCCGAGGCCGTTATGCGGGAAATCGGCATCGAAACCGCCGTAGATTCGCACATCGACCTTTCACCCAGCCAGGTGTTTGAAGAAAATGAGTTCCTGCATGTGTGAGAAGACAGGTCTTGGTGCGGTAGAAACACTCGTCGGCGAAAAGCACATTTTCTTCACAGGAACCGTAGGGAATACCCCTAATGCATCAGTTTTCAGGGTAGCCAGGCTTGACTTTGTTTTATCTCAATGACTACTACATTGTCTAGCACACAGTTATCAGTGATGCGACACGTGAAAGCCCTTTTTGCTTTTAGAGTACACTATTGAAGTTTATCGCGCGTTCTGAACCCATGCTGGTAAGGCGGAAACGCTTGGAGATAAGTGAAGGAACGACGAGTATGCAATCTATTTAGAAACACTAGGCTACTTCTTAGAGACTGTCAAACACGCGTCGAGACTCTGCTGTATGTCCTGTTTGATGTCTTCGATATGCTCCAAACCAACTGACATCCGTAACATGTCTTCAGTGACACCTAGATCGATCTTCTCCTTAGGATACATCGGCTTGTGTGTAGATGACCAAGGATGAGTCGCCGCACTTTTGGCATCGCCGAATCTATTCCACAATCCATGTTAAATCGGTGGTACGAAAAACCGAAATGGCCATGGAAAGCATCAAGTACTCTGTGATGGGTACACTTACGAGGCCATGTGGGTGATGAGCTTGAAGCCATCCACGAGTGATTCTCCAACAACGGCACCACCTCTTACACCGAAGAGGATGACAGCCCCAGCGCCGCGAGGGAAATACTTGGTAGCGGCAAGATACTTCGGATGGTCTTCCAGCCCCGGATAGTCGACCCAAGAGATGCTAGGATGGCGACGCAGCCACGCCGCGAGCTCCGTCGCGTTTCGCGTGTGTCTCTCACACCGCAAGCTGAGCGTTTCCAGCCCGATGAGAAGGTCTCTACTATTGTAGGGCGACAGACAGGCCCCAGAATCGCGGAGAATCTGGTGCCTGAACCGGTTCACGAAGGCAAGCTTCCCAAAGGACTCGTGGAAGTTGATGTTGTGGAAGCCTGGGTTGGGCTGGTTGAGCTTCGTAAACCTCGGACTGCGCCAGTCGAATCTGCCCGAGTCAACAACGACGCCGCCGACGGAGGTTCCGTGGCCGCAGATCCATTTGCTAGCGCTATGGGTCACGATGTCTGCGCCATGGAGAATCGGCTGGCACCAGTAGCCTCCAGCCCCGGCGGTGTTATCGACCACTAGAGGTATGCCATGCCGGTGAGCTACTTGAGCAATATTCTCGATATCTGGCACGTTCATGCGCGGATGTCCCATGCTCTCGAGATAGATGGCCCTCGTAGTCTCGTTTATCGCTGCCTCGATGGATTCCGGGGTTTCTTGGACGATATCCACCGAAATGCCCAGGTCCGGCAGCAGGAAGCTGAACTGATTGTATGCACCGTGGTACATATTAGCAGTTGATATGATGCTCTCGCCACGTCCGGCCAGACCCAGCATTGTCATGAATACAGCTGACTGGCCAGAGGCAACGGCAACGGCGGCGAGTCCGCCCTCCAGCGCCGCCATTCGCTTTTCCAATACGTCTGTAGTTGGATTCGATGTTCGGGTGCCGATGTGTCCGTGTTCCTCCAGGCCGTAGCATCGTGCTGCGTGTGCCGAGTCGTCAAAATTGAAGTGCGCGGTTTGGTAGATAGTTACGGCTCTTGACTTGGTGACCGGGTCGGTGTCCTGGCCGGCGTGTATTTGCAGTGTTTCAAACCTGGAAGCCATGGTGAATGTTGGTAGTGAAGCTAACAAAGCTTGTCTGCAAGCGAAACAAATTTCTGTATCCCGTGATGATAGACTATTGAAGCCTCAGTGGAAATGATCTCTCACCCCCAGAAAAGCCCTTTGTAATCTCGAGGTTCAGTTTTCGGCGCTCTCGGTAAGTGGCTCCGGACATGGGACGAGATGTTGCGACGTATCTCGGAACTGCGGAGAGTCGGACGCGAATGTCAAATTTGCCGGCTGAGCTTTCGTGGAAGGCATTTCAAGCTCGTAACTTTCGGAATTCGGTCTACGGCGTGTTTCCCACTCAATATGGTTGCACATGCACTGGTAGATGTATCATTAAATCGTCTCCTTAGAGGAGCATAGAAGCCGCGTCCGTTAATTCATTGCCTTCATTCGTCTTACTCGGGCTGCATTATTCAAACTCCCAATCAAATCTTCACACCCACCCAAACATAGTTAAATACGCCATGGCACCCCTCGAAGTCATAGTTGTCGGTGCCGGATTCGGAGGCCTGTCTGCGGCAATTGAGTGCCGGCTGCGAGGCATGAAAGTTACTCTCATAGAGAGATACGTCGACTCAAACACTCGTGGAGGTAATAAAACCTTCCAGCATCATTCTTTCTTTTCCCTTGCGCACATGCACCTTTATCTCTCTCTGCGTGATGGAGCTGACCTGACGGGTGTCAGATATCATTGACTTCTTCGTCAACGGCGGCCTAGTCATCTCCAGATGGGATGATGGAAAGGTGGGCAAGGAAATCCTGTCCATCGGGTGCGAATCCGACGTGCTTGAAATGTACAAATATGACGGCACGCTTCTCTACCCTGTTCCCTGGTTCATGAAAGACGAAGATCGAACCAAAACTTTCGCGGCTCATCGGGGCAAGCAGCATGGCATCTTCATGGCGTATGCACGTCGTCTGGGTGTCCAGATTGAACTGGGAAAGTCGATTGTCGATTACAAGGAATCCGAGGAACACAACCAGGCGGGCGTCACGTTCGAGGACGGGAAGACTATCTGGGCCGACTGCGTTATTGCTGCCGATGGCAGTCGATCTTTCGCGCGCAAGGCTGTTCTTGGTCTCGAGAACGAAGAGGAGAAGAGCGGATGGACCATCTTCAGGTCCTACTTCACCGCGAGCGAGAAGGCACTGGCCCATCCCGATCTCAAGAACTTCTTCCGCAACGGTGAGGACGTCATCAAAGCCTGGGCCTACGACAACCTCAGCATCCTGGCCTATTCTTGGAACGGCGGAAGGGAGGTCGCCTGGGTCATGATGCACCCAGATAACAACGACGTCGAGGAATCTTGGTCTCACAGCGTGCCTAAATCCGCAGTCGACCCCTTTATTTCCGTGTTCGCCCCCGAGTGCAAAGCTTTGCTGGAATGCACCCCGCCTGAATGCTTGATTGACTTCAAGCTGGTTTACCGGCCTCACATCAAGAAATGGACGTCCAAGGGCGGTCGAATCATCCTCATTGGCGACGCGGCCCATGCCCATCTTCCCACCTCCGGCCAGGGTGGCTCACAGGCCATCGAGGACGCCGTGACGGTCGCCGCGTGTCTCGGGAAGTCCGATGGCGACGTCAAGTTAGCCCTCGAGGTTGCCCAAAGACTGAGGTACCACCGCGCCAACAAGTTCCACGCGAACGCTATTGTTCACAGAGATGCGTTCCACAAGGTTGATTGGGACACTATTCAGGCCAACCCAAAGGAGTGGGCTATGAAGAGGTTTCCGCGGGTTAGAGACTTCGATGCCCAGGCTGTAGTGGACGAATGGTACGGCAAGGTCAAAGAGGATGTCGTTAGCGGAAAAGAGGGAACACTGGAAGAATTGGCGATCCCACTGTTGCCGAAGGAAGGAGTTTACTGGTAGACTAGAGTACACAGTGACCGCATAGAGTTCCTCAGATTAGTTTGTCTCGTGTCATATATAAGATAGGATGCAAACAGTATCGATAGCGTTTTCCGTATAAACGGGTTATGTCATCCGAGTATTTCTTTCTGAACACTTTCTTTCATAGGTGACAGGCGTCAATTGCTCTCAGCTTGTAACTCTTGAGATCTACAAGCATTCTAACTCCAGTCATTCGAACAGGAGAATCATTAAGTTCCAACGTTCTTGATCTTAATGTGTAATCAAATATGACTAATTCCACCTAAGATAAGCCTGCTAGTGCGAACATGCCAGGCTTTGCATCATCATCATCATCGCGAAGGAAACTTGGCACAGACAAGCCAAGATGATTTATTGATATCATTGACCCGAAAGTTGCTAACACCGGCGGGGTTTGAACCGCTGCCTTCCGGCACTCTTACGTTGCGTTGCCCGTAGGTTATTTCTCGCCAGCCCTAATGCCGACCAAGGTTTCCAACTTCAGCCCCGTAAACCGGCCCCGAGCGTAAGCGAAGTAAAGAATGGTCGCAAAAGCGAAGATGCCTGTAACAATCACGATCGAGTAATTCATGTTGGACGCCTTCACCGGCAGCGTAGTCGGAAATGACGGGAAAACGATGAGGAGGGCGCACCATACCACTGACATGGTGTGAACGATAACACGGAACCGGCCTATTTGCCAGGGCCCCAGTTCAAACTCTCCGCCGATGGATCGGTACATCAGCAGCCCGATGGGAATGATATACGAAACCATCTGTAGGATTAGAAAAGCTGACAAAAAGGCGAAGAAGGCCGTAGTGTTCCATATGTAGATCAGACAGATCAGACACAGGGCAACAAATGTCACCAATAGAGCCCGCACCGGAACATTCCACTTTGGATGAATCTTGGACAATACCGGGGGCAGCGCGCCATCCAAGGCGGCCGAGTGGATGGCGCGCCCGGCTGAGCCGACGAGGTTCATGCTCGCACCAGCGCCGACCGTGAAGGTCATAACCTGCAGGAAAACTGCCACTGAGACGTTTTGGGTTGAGTTCAGGTAAATTTGCGCCATCGGGCTCACAAAGCTGACTGGAGACTGCAGGAGCAAATCCAAGCTGCCGGTACAGAAGAGCAATGCGAGCACCCATGGAAGGCATAGCAGTGCGTTGATAATCAGCGAGTACAAGACTGTGAGATGTTAGTCCCGGCGTTGAAGCCGTGGCAATTTGTCACCTACGTGCTCTAGGGATGTTGTTTGCTGCGTCTCTGGTCTCTTGACTGAACATGACAACGGAATGAATGCCGCCGAATCCGGCGCAGGCCGTAATGATGCCCACCCAGAAGGCGATCCCGTCGGTTGGCCACCCAGAAGTGTTCTGAAACTCTACAAAGACGCTCTGAGCGCTGTTCTTGTTCTCAGTAGTGGCGAGAAGAACAATCATGGTGATGAAGAGAAATGATAAGTGTATGAATGCGGCTGCGTCCCATCAGCATGAGTCGAAAGAATGTGATGACTGGCAATACTGAATACCCCCAAAGTTTATCAAGCTGAAGAGCTTAACTCCGAATATGTTCACCAGCAGATGAATGGTTAGAAGTGCCCAGTACATCTGTCAGTAAAGTCAGTCCTAGCCCTAATAAGCCCAGTGGTACTGAACATTGCGGGCAATGCCATGGTCGCCAAAAAGAAGCAAATTTGTGACTAACACATGGCAAGTGCCAACGTTGAGGTACGTATGTGGGATTTTGCAGCATCACTGCTGCTTGAATCTGTTGTACGACACCCACGGCCACAGATACTGCGGAAAGAAGTAGCCCGCACAGGCTTGCCCAGACGACATAATATGACTATACATTCGTAAGCTATAGTAGACGGCGTATGTCCGCAATAACTTACCACCAACGGCCGCCACTTCTCTGAACACAGTCTTGCTGTCCAATAATACTGGGCCCCAGCCGTCGGCCAGATACTGTCCACAACGGGCTGTAAGCCAATGTTTCGAAGCCACAACCTAAGGCCGGCAGGGCAGTGCAAGTGCCTGTTTCAAGACATCTTACCTCGCCAACTCTGCCAAGGACGCAGCAACACATGTAAAGCCAACCGCTGCGAGCAAATAGCCCCAGATGACGGTCGGGGCGCCTCCCAGACTAAATCCCTGCAGTATTACCGATCCTATGCCCTCCCACTTGGAAAACACGGTCAGCACTAATTGAACGGTACTCGGCGCTTCTTCTATTTCTTTCATAGCTTTCTTCAACTTACAGTCCCAGCAATGCATACTCCCATGGCAACAGCTGACCAAAGATTGAACCGTTGCTGAAATTGTTGCGGCTGTCTGAGGCTGGAAGATGGATCCATGATTGCGGTGCCCTCAACAGAGTCGCGGGGAGGGTGTTCTGCCGCAGGGTCTTCAATGATTTCGCTCTTATTTCGTGAATCCATTATTGGGCAGTTTTACAAGTAATGATTGGGCCAAGAAAAGCTATTGAATTCAACACCTTGCGTGCTTAGCAGAACCCAAAATGAAGGAATGAAAACAATTGTTGATTTTATCTAGCTAAGCTGGATTTACTTTAAGAGGCCATTCGTTTGATATCTCTTATCTCACCCAGTTCGCTCGTGCTTCCTCGCCATTCTTTGCCCCGATATCATTTGCCCCAGGACGCTTATCTCTACGTATGAGATGCTAGCTTCTCAAGCAGGCGAGGTAGTATCTTATTGAACGAACTTGTGGCATTTCTGGCATTGTTTTGTGGCAAGCAGTGTTCGCGCGTATTGACCGAAAAAGTCCGAAGGCGTCTCTTGGGCAATTGCTGTGATAATCAGCTGTCGCTGTTTTTGTCCGAACGAGCTCGGAGACCCCACGCCGAGGAGTCCGAGACTGCAATTTTCTAGATTCATTGCTGCCACCTTCCTATTCGGGTGAGATCAGCTCTTCTTTTCTCCGCCCGTTGGAACAAAGGCAATTCCTTCATCACGACCGGTTATGAGGTTATGAGTTGTACAGCGTCGTGGGCTATGGTTCGAGAGCGAAGCGGCGCGATGTTGGTGGCACACATGACACGACTGTGAGGCGCCTGAAAAGTTGTCTGGAAGTCGATTACTTTAGCCATAAACAAAAAGGCACCAAGGACAAGATACCCATCAGGCCAATCATAGCTCTAAGTCTATTTCAAATCCTTCCGTCCAATCGTCTACTCCCGGTATCACCAGAGTCTTACCACTAAACACGGTGCTGTATCTGTCTTCAGGGGACTCTTCTATATCAATCATCGAGAAGTTGGCCTGTTTCGGGAATAATGGCATCTCTTCAGAAGAAGCATACTCTTGAAAGTCGACGCCACTGCATCTTGTACCACCTGATAGGAACATTGTATTTGCTGGATCGGAAGATGCCGTCGTAAATGCAGGAGCCTTCAGAGGTGTTCGGCTCATATTGCCCTCAGTCATTGCCGCTGATGACGGGCGTAGGCCGCCCATAGAAGTCTCGGTGTCTTGGTGAGGAGACCGCATGACCTTGCGATTCTCCGCCCTGGCAGCCTCCCACATGCGCAAGATAGTGTTCCACTGATGCCCACCTCGGTAATTCTCGCACGGCGTTTCCCATCTAGATGCCATGACCCGCTCTACCGCGCGCCATGCATTACCGGCACTGCTGCCGGCCCTCCGTTCGCGTAGTTCGTGAAGTACAAAGGCGAGAGCATGCCACTGGTTGTAAGACTTGAAAAACCATGCCCACTTTTCACTGCGACGGTCATGTTGAAGTCGGTACGATGCTTCGATACATTCGAGAGAGCAAAGAAAAAGCTCGTTTCGCCTCGCGGTATTGAATCTCGCTGGGTTCTGCAACGGCTTGAATACATTGAGCTTCAGTTCAAGAAGCATGCACCGCACATACAATGCCGAGACCTGTATTTGTTAGAGTCAATGTTGGAGCCAGATCATCGCGATGGCGTGAAGGGACAGGAGAGTAGAGAAAGAGAATAAGTTTTCACCCATTGCAATGGATCCGATAGTGACAGACACTTCAGATAACCTTGGTGGAGACGTTGATGACATTGCTCGAGCCACTCATCCTTCTCGGTATCCGTCATGGATTCTACTGATTTCTCGCCTCGGTCTCGAGGCCGTCGAGAGTCGAATACATACCGCCAGAGACGCGTAACCTCAACGTGCACCCTAAGAAATGTGCTGTCAGTGAAGCCATGCCTCTCCGGTGGTCTCTCTAGCAGATCGGGAGTAAGATCACAGTCATTCACGTTGATGGGCATCCCAGCATCGAAGCTGCTCATCTCGAGCCTGTGCATGCACATATGTGTCAGCATTTGTCCTCGTTGCAACGGAAGGCCAGTATGGTTCGAACTTACATGGATGGATCACAAGCGTAATCTTCCTGAGCCGGTGCATCGATGTTGCATAGTTGCCACGCAAGCCTGCGCCGCATCTCGGCCTCAAAAAAGGGAAGACGAAGTGCGCTTCCATCACGATGGATTCCTACAGACTGGGACAGCCTGATAGCGAGCCCGGATAATTTCCAAGATAGCCTCGCATCGTGGCGGCGGAGGATAATCAGGAAAGCGCAGAGCGCCTCAAGGACTAGTCGATCATCTGTATGCATGAAGCCAGCCCTAACCAAACACTTCTCCACACCGAGCCTATACTTTGCGATGAGATGGCTGCGGTCCATATCGAATAAAGATTGACAATCCTCGTCGTCTATACTGGTAACAGCCCCGTGGTATATGCAGAACATGGCGAGTTCCATGTTTCGTGGTATGCCGAATGCCACCTCGGTTGATTCTTGGAACCATTGCTCCAAAGAGGCGAGATGAAACAAACTGACGACCGGATGGACATTTTGCTTGTATAAAGACCACATCTTCCAACGATATGCTCCAGAGGTAGGGTGCAACGTGCAAATATCCACAGGTTGCGCGGTGCTGTTCCCGAAGATGGAATCGAAGTTGTGGGCCAAGACATGAGACTCGAGAGACTCAAAGTCAGCATCGTACCCTGGATCTTCAGTTGTATCGTGTTCGCCGCCGAGCTAGGATTCGTTAGTATCTGAATCTCATAGCGTTGATGCCGCCAGTTGCTGAACCAGCGTCATCCTACCTCAACTCCCAAAGACGCCCAAAATGAGCCGCTGATATACCGGCTTTTCCCCTCCTCCCTTATCAGTCTTCCTGTCTCTGGACTCGCCGCTACCTTTTGAGGCTTCTCATATCGATCCTGTTCCATGGACACAGGCGGCGGAGTGGCAGAGGGATTTTTATCGGAAGCGGAAGCGGATTGCTGGGGCCCGTGGGGCGACTGCGGAGGGGCGTTCTGGAGGGCCTGTTGTATTCCTTCTTCTCCGATAAATGACCCAAGCCTCCTGACCACGTCCTCAAGCCTTTTCAATCTGTTGGTCAGCTCAGGATCAGGAGTGCCTTGTCGTCGACTTGCGCGTCCCATAGGATAGACGCATTCCACGCCGGCCTTGGAGCAGCCGTCGCAAGGCTTCTTCTTGTCACATTTGACCTTTCTCCGACCTAGATTGGCTCAGTGTGTCAGAAATATTGATGCCAGATCACTTGGAGGAAATTTCGACTCAAATAACGAAAATGGACTGACGGCAGAGTAAACATGACCGCACAGCGGTGGTCTGCGCGGATGCGCCTGAGCCGAGATTAGATTGTTGGGCGATTACGATGGTGTCTTCCATCTCCTCCAGGTCATGTTGCGGAGGGGGCATGTTCTTTTGTTTAATCTTTCCCGAAGCAATTTGTCAAGGTGAAATCTACTTGGTAAACACAAACACACAGGTTGCAAGGTGATTCATTCTGATGGCACCTAGAAAATACGATTTATCTCGGTGTCGAGCCAATCGATCTAGGCCTATCACTAAGCACGACCAGGGGCCAACCGAGATAACCCAGGTTCCTTATCAATCTGCTTCCAGGGGTGTCGGGGCACCATAGCCGAGCGCTTCGACATCCAACTCTTTCATGCAAGTGTGTAGTTCGGAGCCCGAAGCCGTTGGGAGCCGGTTTGGCATACTTGGCATGGGCTGGTTCGGAGTTGTCACTTACACAATTGTCCGCTGAGTCCGTCTGCGGGGTGCGCGGCCACCATGGTCGTGGCGAGTGGACATTCTTCTGCCCAGCTAACAGATAAAAAGGGACATGGGCAATGACCAGAACGCTCGTAAACATCCCTCTGAGAGGCAACTTCCTGCTTGGACATAATTACATCACATTCGAATCATGGATTCGACATTGGACGACATCCTCACCGCCCGAACCGCCAAGGATGCTGATGACGTGTTCGGTGTTTTCGCGACCATTGTCGACAAAAATGGTATGCCATGGCCAGAGCGTAACGTCGGTGTGTGGATCTAATCAGTGAATATTACCAGGGGAGACTCTCTACAGCAAAGGCGCCGGTCGCGTCACGTTCGACAGCGATGAAGTCCCCGATGAGGATACCACATACTGGGCTTTCTCGTGGACAAAGCTATTGACCACAGTAGCTGCATTGCAAGTTGTTGAGCGAGGACAGATTGCGTTGGACGATGAAATTGATTCGCTTCTGCCAGAGCTCAAGAACCCCGATATCCTCTCCGAGGGTGCAGATGGTGGTCTTGTCCTTACGCCGGCTGCGAACAAAATTACCCTCAGACATCTCCTTACCCACCAAAGCGGAATCGTATATGATGGGAGAACCCCTCTGTTGATGAAGTGGCGACAGTCAAGAGGCGAGAGCGCACTCTCCTTCAGCGGAGATGTCATAAAGGCATTCTCCACCCCGCTGGTCTTCGAGCCAGGCGAGAGTTGGGCGTACGGTGGCGGCCTGGACTGGGCCGGCGTCATCATTGAGCGATTGAACCATATGAAGCTGGGGGAGTATATGCAAAAGAACATTTTTGATCCTCTGGGAATGAGACATACGACATTCCATCTGAATGCTCGGCCTGAGATCAAAGCAAAACTAATGGATACGGCAATGAGAACCCCGGAAGGGAAGCTGGTTCCGACGGCTCCGTGGTACCCCGCAGACGCGGTGACCGATGCGGGCGGGATCGGAATTGTTACCAGCGTCGCAGACCACGTCAAAGTCCTGGCGGACCTTTTGAAGGACAATCCTACAGTCTTGAAGCGAAGTTCCGTGGATGCCATGTCTACACCACAGTTCTCGAAGACCGGTCCTCAAGCTGTGGGTTTGATGAACATGCCGGTAAGCATATCTTCACCACCCAGCCTCTTCGCATTGAAGCCTCCATAAAGCACTATGCTGATCGGTTGCATCTTAGTTCATGCACGAAAATCTGACTGGAGGCGAGAAGACGCTTGGAAAGCTTTCGTTTGGCATTGGTGGGCTCGTCACCCTCGATGAGACTCCTCTTTTGCCTCGACATACGTTGAGCTGGGGAGCCATGCCCGGAATGGCATGGTTCGTTAACAGGGAAAAGGGCTTGGCTGGCGCATTTGGTACCCAAATGTTGCCTCCCGGCGACAAGAATGTGAACAGTCTCATTGGAGAGATTTTGAAGGAAGGAATGAAGATGGCAAAGGTGTAAATAGAACGCATAGCTGGGTGTATACATGCCGCGGGATATCCAAATGCTCGCGGGTCTATGTAAGCCTGCATCTTTAGACAATCCGCATCAGTGAACTTTCTTTCCTCTCAGTATTTGGGCTGCACTGGAATCTGAAGCGCCAGTGCATTGGCCGAGTCTTTGCCACCTGCTGTGTCTCAATATAAGAAAAGTCACTTCTTCAGATTCAATGTGTTCAAGGTGGATAGCACAAAAATTTACCCGTCACATATGGTACTGGAACGGCGAACAAAAAATGGGAAGACGCAGACGGATGACGTGAACAGCTCTCATGCGACTCCAAGTTCGATTAAGATTGCTATTTAAGGTTGACGTCCGCTGCGGGAGTGTTGCTGGGAGTTGTGCTCCTACTGGGTTGATCCTTGCGATTGTCTTTAACCACGGCGGCTACGGAAGTTTATTCATTCATATCCCTCTCCCGTATCAAAATCTCGCCCTGTTCATTTGGCAGTATCTATTGAAGTGGGAAATGTCAGCTGACGCCGCATGTGTCTTTCTAATATTGATTTGGGTCATCTTACCTGGCCTTGAACCTCCATGTTCTCATACCTGCCTTGACCGTCGGGCATCTTGATATCGTATCGCTTCAAGATCTCCACGAGGATCATCTTGATCAGCATGTCGGCGAGGAACCTCCCAGGGCATGCAGCTCGCCCGTAGCCCCAAGCCAAATCCTCTTTGCTCACACTCAAAACTTGATACTTTGAACGGGATTCCTCTGTTTGTCGCTTCTTGTAGAATCGCAAGCCGTCAAACTCAGAGGGATTGTCGTAAAGAGCGGCATCAGCATTGATGGCACCAGTGGCAACCTCAATTCTTGCACCCTTTGGGAGGTGAAAACCGTTTGACAGAGTGACTGGGCCGGTGGCTTTGCGCTGGAACGTCGCTGTGATGATGGCATAAGCTTGAGTCTTAATATGTGGGGAAGGAGTCATGGCAGGGACGTACTCAAGTCAGGAGAGCAAAACCGCTGTACTTCCTTGATAAAGCTGTCCATCTTTTCCAATTTGGAAGCTACGCGTCTTGTAAGTATATCTCCATGCTCATTTGTGACCTCTTGTATTTCCTGGCGGAGAGCTGGCAGATATTCTGGGCGACTGGCCAGGTCGTAAAGACACTGAACAACTGTTGATGTTGTGGTGTGGATGCTTGCAGCACACAGAGGCATTTGGATATTCATTTGAAGTTGCAAATCGTCCAGATACTGACCGTCGTCATTGACGTAATCGAAGACGCTCGGGGGATCGGACAGAGGCTTGAGACCATTGGACTTCTTGTTTTTCATCTGCCTCAAGACCACCTTTGCGCCGTTGCTGTACTGTTCGGCGAGACCTGGGAAACCAGGGAGGTACTTGTGTACGATTGGCAAGAGAAACGACGGCCACTGCTTTGCACCTATTGAGTAGACAATTTGGTTGATGATGAATGTGCCTGCAACATCAAGAAAGACCTCATCCTCGGCGGCATCGGAACCGAGAAAGCCTCGAACGTTTGATTTCGTTATGAGGGGAATGATGGATGACCACACATTTATGGACGCCCAGTCTGTGTGACAAGTGACGAGTTAGAAAGTGTGCAATATTTCTATCTGTCAGAACTTTGGCAAAGGCGTACCTTTTCCATGAGCCGGAGGTAACAGATTCGCAATGTGTTCGCCAGCCATGTTCTGGAACATTTCGGCGTAGGAATCTAATGACACGAGACTTAGTGTTATTGAATAGGAATGCCTGAAATGATGATCTTACCCAAGGCCGGATTGAACTTTGCCGAGAACAGCTTGATTGACCAGGCTGGGAGGGCACCAACTTTGGTGTACCGTTCAAGAGTGAACTAAGTGTCGTCAGTTTCTCATATTCGAACCATCGGGGATAGTTTGGGTGTTCGGACCTCGTTCAAGGCGGCGCTGAAGCTGAGGTTGGGATTGCTTTTCAGTTCATCCATGAACCGAATGGGAAGAACAATGTTGCAGCCTACACAAAAAGATTTCTTTAGACCCGAGTTGTACAATTTGGGCATAACACGAATGGAGAATAATATCAACCTAGTGGGGTGTCAATGGCAAAGATTTGGTCTTTGAGCTAAATCTAGTTAGAATATGTAGAGCCGACTCTGATGCTGTTACAGCTACTTACCTTTGAATATCCTTTGACTAGAACTTCTCGAGAATTGCGCACATATTGCTGTACCCTTTCGTTCCGACTGGGGAACTCGTCCTCGAGAGCGAAGGGCACGTTGGGGCGGAACCGGCTCCAGCCACGCGCCACGAAGAACACGGCAAGTAGTGCCAGCAGCGCAAATAAGGCAACGAAGACATAGTTGGTCCCATTGGTTCTCGAGAATTCGGCAAGGAACGGCGATACAATCAATGGCAATTTGGCCCCGTACGACGATGGAGTGTCCATGGCTCGATGGGTTTTGTTTCAATCAACAACACGAGAATAGAGTGGTTCTAAGCAAATTCAAAGACAAGGCAAAGATGTAGTATGGAATTAGGATAGAAATTCGACAACAAAAGACTTATAGAGGCTTCTATTGATTCCACATTGGCGGCAGGAGTTTCTCAACTGGCCTGGCCAAAAAAGCCACCTAGTACAGCCAGCATACACACAGTGCGTAGCCTCGAATATCTTGGCTCTGACGAGGTCCCTCGGAGGGCAGCAATTGTCAAACTCAACTGCATCTTTGTCCGGCATCCCGATGCCGACTGTGTGTAGAACAATCGTTTTCGGCCTTTCGTCACCGATGAGTCCGAGTGTCTACAATTCGGTGTCCGAGACACCGACTCCCATCAATCAGGCACCTCTGTCATTCAAGCAATCAAACTTTGAACGGCTCCTGAGCGAGGTGGTCGCACAACACTTTCAAAGGAAGATGAGTAAATCAATTCCTTGTGTTTTCATGGTCCCTGACCTCCAGGTTTCGTTTCCTATACGTGAAAGAATTTCCTCCCGAAAATAGTGCCTAGCATTGCTCAGCAACATCACGTCCGAAAATATCCCTTATTGCTATCTAGTCAAGATGGGATTGCTACAACTTGACACCGCGGCGTTCACAGGTGTTGCCTCGGGAACCACGAGTACGGTTGCCCTTGCGATTCTGGCTCTGGCGTTTTACTTGTGGACAGCGAAGGAATCGGCAATGCAGCACCTCCCTCCAGCTCCAAAGGGATACCCATTTTTGGGAAATCTCATGGACGTTGTGAGCGCGGGTGGCTTGCTACATATCAAGATGATTGCGTGGGCTCGAGAGCATGGCGAGATCATTCGAGTCGTTCTTGGACCCAATACCGAGTATGTCATCAATTCCGACCGCGCCTGTGCCGCGATATTTCAAAAGAATGCAACGATTTCGTCTGAGCGGCCCGCCTGGCTTGTTGGTCAAAAGTACATCACCAACTATGAAAGCATGGATCTTTTGGATGCCAGCAATCCCCGATGGAAGGTTAGATATTCATGATCTGGTAATTGATACGACGCACTTGCTGATGTGTCATACCTCCACAGTTGCAACGGAAAATAGCACTCCAAAATCTCACTAGCGTACAGCGGGCCGATGCTGGTCTGCCATTTTTGTATCACGAAACGCTGAAGTTTCTAAACCAGGTTGCGCAAGATCCCAATGCAGGCACAGAGAAACAGACAAATCTGTGGGATAGCATTGGGCGCTACGTTTATAGCACTTTCACATCCCAGCTTTACGGGCTCGAGGTCAGTTAGAGCAAGATGCAAGAAGTTGCCTTTACACTAATAGCGGTTGTTCATCACAGATAACAAAACCTGATAGCGCAGCGAGCAAATACATTTTTGGCAAGTTGTTATTCAACGCCCAACTTGATTAACTTGCCGACACTAATTCACCTGTTTTCAGAAAGTGCTATCGATGAGATTACATGTACAGTCAACTGCCATCCATCTGCAGCTTCACAAATGCTCACTTAGACCCCAATCAGCGACAATCTCTGGTTTCTACATCGCCGACATCTTTACGGCGCTCGATTACCTGCCATTGGCTTTAAAGCCATGGGCCAAGAATGGCATCAAACGACACAATTCTGACGTTGAGTTTGTCCAGAACCGGATGAATGTAAGACCACATGTTCCTCTGTGATTTTCTCGGTCCCTGTTTTGTGCAATACTGATGAATAAACCAGTACGCTAAGAAGCTTGTAAATTCCGGATCAGCCCCGGATTCCTTCATGACACGCGTTCTCACCAGTTCGGATAAGTCTGGTGCTAGTGAGACTGAGGCTGCCTATGTCGCCCTCAAATTGATAGCGGCCGCATCAGACACGGTAAGTATCATTGCAAATATTTCAATGTCACGCATAACAATAATTGTTTCTAGAGCCGCGTCAGCACATGGGTGTTCCTCGAGCAGATGATGATGAATCCTCGCGTTCAGCTGCACGCTAGAAAGTTGATAGGTTCGTACTTTCCGAAAAGCAAGAAATCCAGAATGCAGTGATTGTGGAGTTGCTACGAGTCTTGACTGATCATCCATCATAGACGATGCCGTAGGAGATAGACTGCCAGTTTGGGAAGACATCGAACGGATACCGTACGTGCGATATCTCATGAAAGAGACGTGGCGAATGCGCCCGCCTGTTGGAAATGCCCTCGCTCATCGCATCACCGCCGACATTGCCTACGAAGACTATGTCATCCCTGCAGGCTCTACTGTTCGACCAAATATTTGGTACGTTGAGAGACTTCCATCTTTGATCATCAGAAAGACCTTGGCATGTCAAGGTACAACAGTTTTGATGCTGACTTTCTGTCACCCAGGGCGATTGGTCGAGATCCCAAGCGTCATCCAGATCCCGACACATTCAGACCGGCACGCTGGGAGGGCGATGAGTTGTCAGTGAGTTGATCTAGTCTTATTGCTCTTCGACATCACATCGATGGAGGAAAACCTGACACGCACGCGATATTTAGACCCAGCAGTCTGCGAACCTACCTGATGCCACCCAAAGAGACCACTTTGCGTTCGGAGTTGGCCGCCGGTTTTGTGAGCACTCTCTCCTTGGGGCCTTACATCCCCATATGTTCCCTTCAGGCTCACAAACTGATGACGTTTCCCAGGCCCAGGTGTACAAGTTGCCGAAAGATCATTTGCCGTGGCCATCATGCGAACGCTATGGGCCTTTGACATTGGGGTCCGGCCCGGCACCCAAATGCCCTTAAACCCTGACGACTACATGGAGAAAGAACTTCCGGGAGTCCCTGGAAGCAGGCTTCCGCTGAGCTTGAAGGTCAGATCGGAGAAAAAGTCATTGATCGAGGAGGCGTGGAAGAAAGAGTTGGCCGAATGGCAGGTCTATGTAGGTAACAGCCTTCATGTTACGTGAGTCGAGTATCTACTGACATTGTCTCGACCTTAGGGGAACATGGATTTGGATCCTTTGGAGGAAGTACTGCGCGCACAGTAGTATGAGAACTCAAGCATTGCATCTCTTACCGATAATCGTCGCGATGCCTTGGTCCAAGAGTAGTAGGACGCTTCTGCAGGCACAGGTATCCAGTAGCAACAAAGATCCGACATGCATTCTCTCATTTGCATCATTTCCTTAGATAGGTATATATATATTTTGAATTAACCCCACACTTTCGGTTTGGACTTCCTTCAAACGTTCCTCAGAAGACGTGACAAGACATTCGTTGAATATTCTTCAGCCTCATTGATTCGACGGAAGCTTCTGTTTCCCACGAAGCAATGCAACAGCTTTCGATGCTTATGCGACTTTCGTGATCAGTGGAACTTATGATAATCAATTGAGCCAAAGAAAATCCAATGGATCATTTGTACGCGCTGTATGACAAGGTTTTGGAACTTGAATATCTTGATAATTACTCCGAGCCCTGAACTTACAAGCTCCGTTTCATTCCGGTCAGGTTGACGCTGACGGGCATCAGGTAAGGTCGAGGGTGACAAAGAGTTAGTGTATGGTGCAGAGTTCTGAATGATTACGAACAGAGGAAGTGGCCAGTCAAGATAAGTCAGGCTCAGTCGAGGGTGAGATGAGCGTCTGTACTTGTGGTCTAAGGTAGCTATCCTCGTGGGACTGTAGCTAGGGGCCCCTCCGCACCCGGTGGTGGCCCAAGACTCTTTCCCATGTCCTCCTTGTTTCGAGTAAGAAATGCGAGCGGCAACATAGGCGCCCACATGGCGATGTTGTTAGGGGAAGCTGGCTCTCGCTGGGGTGGATTGTTGCAATTCACCAGATCTCCGTCCGCGTAATGCTCTAGCACGAATCCGTCGTTGTCGAACCAGTAGTCAAAGATTTGGCTTCCAAGCAAGTGTCTGCCTATGCCCCAAACGAGTGACCATCCCTTTTTCAGCAGGAAGTTATGACCCCTCATCTCGCTGTCGAAGTCGTCAACCTCAAAGCTGCAGTGGTTTGCAGTGCAGGCCGTGACATCCCCAGCAGAGACGAAAAAGCTCTAGAAAATAGTCAATGCCAGTATGTCGAAGATGTATGATTGGAACTTACGTGATGATCGACATATTGTTCACCTTTGCCAAGGTGCATAAATGTCATGACATCCTTTCCGTTTTGAGGATTGAACAGGGAATCTGTTGCTGTGAGGGTGAGAGTATCGAAGTACCATTGACGGACTTTCTCGAAATCGTCATGGCTGACTTCATAACCATAGTGTCCCAACTTGTGAATGTCGCTGGGCCCATCGTCGAAGCGTTGAAACTCCCCCTTCCGAGACTTTGTATCCCAAGTGTTGTAGGTCAGCTTCTTTGGCACCTCGTCTTGGGCGATCTTGCGTTCGTGATGACCCCAGTGAAGGTGGACCAAGCCCCCCGCAGGGTCGGTCAGGGTGACCTTGTTGCCTCCTATGACATCTTCGGCTTTGGAAATGGGAGAAGCGCCCGGTAGTTCAGCTGCAGCCTTCAGGTCGTCATACGTGTCAACACTCCATCCACCGCCAAGAAATGTTGGGATGCCATCCGCGGACTTCTCGGATATGTAGCAGGCCGGGCTTTCACCGAAGCCGCGATACCAAATCTTGTCTGGTGTTGCCTTCACTCGTATGAGGCCAAAGTCGGACAGAAATTTGTCCGCTGCGTCGATGTCCGTATGTGTGTACCATACATACATCAGGCTCTTGAGGTTGATTCTCTCAGGAATTGGAGATGCCATGGCCACGATAATGAAAAACAATGGAGAAGATTCTTTAGGTGGCAATTGGAAAAGAGGTCAGGAGCTCATGGGCGGCTTTTGGTGAAGTTCCTTCATGATCACACAAGATATAACTCGTCTCGACGGCGTCGAAACGGGGAGACGGATGCCGAGCAGACTAGCCCCTGCACACGTTGATCGGTCTCGGTCTCTCCGTCCCCAAAGCCCGGCACCCGCTGGAGCCGTCGCACAAACTCTCCGAGAACGCGATCTCCTTTCCGCAGGGCTTTCGGTTTTTCATGTAGGACTCCGGAAGGATCAATTGACGTTAGCATATGAGCAAGTACGCCCGAGGAGTACTCTTCAAAAGCTGCAATAATTATTCTGGCTCGTCTCCAGAGTTACCTACAAACACAGGTGTTACCCTTAATTCTGAAGCTCATCTGATCACAGAACAATATTCCATCATGTCATTTGACCGTTTGATTCGTTTTGTGGATGAGGAAGGCAGGACATCGTACGGCGACTTGGACAAGCCCCTGGCGGCTAAGGACATAATTGGGGCTCAGGTCCCTGTCGTGGTTGGAACCTTACAGTACGGGTTTACCAGGACAAACGAGAAACGCACAGTCGCAAAGGTCAGAAGTGCACGTTCACCAGTTGAGTTTGTGAGAGGTTAACGCTGTGATAGTTGCTTAACCCAGTTCCCGATGCACCTTCCGTACTATGTGCTGGTCTCAACTACAAGCTCCACTCCAATGAGACAAACGTAAGAATGGTCTCCAACAATAATTCCGAGATGACAAGCATCACTGACACGTCTAGACAGTTTGTCATCCCGGCAAAGCCCGTCATCTTCATGACGCCAGCTGAAAGGCTCACCGGTCCCCTCGACGACATTGTTGCCCACGATGATGCGCAGCCGATGTTGGACTACGAAGGCGAGCTAGTCTTCGTGTTGTCTAAAGATGCAAAGGATGTGAAGGAAGAAGAGGCTCTCAATTATGTTCTAGGGTACACTATTGGCAACGACGTTTCTGCGAGAAGTCTGGTCCCAGTGGAGATCTCGGGAAACCAGATGGGCCATTCCAAGTCGTTCGATACCTTCGGCCCGATTGGCCCTTGTATCACTTCTACAAAGCTGATTCCCGACCCCCAAGCACTCCATCTGGTAACCACAGTCAACGGAGAAAAAAGGCAGGATACTAAAACAGGGGAGATGATCTTTAGCGTTAAGCAGCTGATTGCTTACGCGTCGAAGAACCGCACTCTCAAACAAGGAACGGTTGTTATGACTGGCACACCCAATGGCGTTGGCTGGTTTTCAAACGGTTTGCTGGGCCACGGAGATGTAGTTGACGTTCAAATCAGCGAAATCGGATCCATTTCCAACAAGGTCGTGTTCAAATAGATTATCACATATGTTCTCCTAGAGAATATCGAAGCTACTTTCACTTGACGGAGTATTTGCCTTTCCTCATTCCATAACAACAACACCAAGGTGACTCTGATTTGGAAATCAGGTACTTGTGAGGTCGCGGACTGCCGTTCGGGTAGGTCTGGCGAACTTCCCGAAGTGGATACAGCCCTCGCGTAGTTCAGACCGGCGGCCGACTGAGCCTTCGGCTTCTACTTAAGGTCATACTAGACAAGGAATGCCTCAAACATTGATGCCAACTTGTTGAAAATACTAGATTGCACGGATAATTACTTGCCTAAGCACATCAAATTTGGTCTCAAGCAGCGACCATGGCCACCACAAACCAAGAAATCCGAAACGTTGCAGTCATCGGCGTAAGAAATCGAATGGCAAAGAGAGAATGCTGCAATAGAGCTAGTGACTGACCAGGAGTAGGGTACCGGTCTTCTCGGGTCTTTGATCTCGAAAGAACTGATACAATCTGGTCTATTCAATGTCACTATATTGAGTAGGGGACAAGGAATTGACGCCAGCCTCGGTGCAAAGCTAGCCATGGTCGACTACAACGATGAAGAGAGTCTTGTCAAGGCGCTAGGGGGCCAGGATGCTGTCGTGAGCGCACTCTCAAGAGAGGCAATTCCACTTCAAATCCCATTGATTGACGCAGCCGCTACCGCCGGCGTCAAGAGATTCATCCCATCCGAATTCGGATCGAACCTACAAGATCCTCAAATACGAAAGTTTCCGAACTACAAACACAAGGTTCAAGTGGAAGAATACTTAGAACGAAAGGCAAGGTCTCACGGCATAACTTACACTTACATCTACAACAACGTGTTTATCGACTTGTCAATCGAGACCGGGGTCGTCCTTGACCTCAAAGGGCGAAAGGCGCGTTTGTACAACGGAGGGAAACGAGCGGTCTCTATGATCACGATGCGGACTGCGGCGCGAGCAATTGTCGCCGTCCTGAAGCACTCAGAAGAGACCAAGAATCGACCCGTTTATATCCACGAAGGACTAATGTCCCAGAAGCAAATACTCGGTCATGCGAAAGAGGTCATCTCGGAGGGAGAATGGCACGAGGAACAGGTTCACCTGGACGAACTTGAGAAGCATCTTGCCGCACAGGCAACTGTGGACGGGTCCAAGATGAGTGTTTTCCACGTGTACGCTGTGAAGGGCGCATTTGGTGACGGGCTCGGGAACCAGTATGGAGAGACTGATAACCAACTATTAGGGATACAGCCATTGTCTGAAGAGAGCTTCAAGGAAATGTTGGCTGATATTATTGCGAAGAAGTAAGGCCTAGGCGAACATACGTCCAGTTCAGAAGTCATGAATGTGAACTTTCAACGGTCGCCCGTACATACTTCCGCAACTCTCGTCACCTCATGTTGTACACCATGTCGTAATCAACCTCCTGCTTTTGCAATCATCTTTCTTCCCTTCTAGCTTTTTTCTTCGCAGTTTGCCGCCTGGAGGCGCACCTTGTTAACTGCCGTATGACTCTCACGGGGAAATATTCGAGGGCCAGGATAGCTCACAGAGAAACCCCTATGGCCACCTATGGGGGATATGAAGAGAGCGCGAATCGCCAGGGGACAGGCATCTGCCTCTTCACGCTGCCACAACCCGGGCTTTTGCAATAATTGTACAAGTCCACTTTAGCTATTTCCAGGTCAAATAACGTCCGAGGTCCGTCGACCGTCAAGACGTACCTTCAATGATACCATCCAATCCAATCAATCGACGCTTGCTCGACCACTGGACGATCATTGGGGGGCGGAGCACAACACGGCGTTCTCGCGATTCGGCCCTTTGGCGCCGGTTCTAGTGCGTGCGTGGGCTATGACGGTCGGGGCTCGGGATGCAGACGCCGAAAGGCCTTCAAAGCTCGGAGGCCAGACCGAGAGGCGAAGCGGGGAAGAATACGGTGGGCATGGACGGTGATGGCTCCACCGAGTTTCCTGGGAATGCAAACAATTGAAGTGGTTCAGAGATGTATTATAAAGCATGAAGCGTCTTTACAGCTTCTCTGTCCTTAGCCTCTTGGACGTGGATTTTCGAAACAAGCCGAGATATTTGAGAGAAATCTCTCCTTTGTACTTCTTGTTTCCCGCTATTCGTGACATCAAGTCCACCATACGCAAGGAATCGGTGGCTTTTGGATCTGTGCAGTTTCTTGATAGGAAAGTACAGCAGAGTAAGGTAGTTGGTGATTCTGCGGTTCTTCATTGCGCAAGTGAGAACGAGGAGATAATCCGCGTATTATGGCAAGGACAAAGTTCTTCATCCATTGAAGCAACAGCCGGTGAATGCTAAGGCGCTCCACTTGGTGGTCGTATGTCCTGCCGGCTTGACTCGCGCACCGAGGGTACGGGAACCGTTAGGACTGCTCGAAAGAGACAAAACCCCTGAGCGGCTGCCTAGTCCGGGAAGCCGCTCTGTAATTTAAAGTTTGTAGATGCACACTAGCCAGACCGGCAAGCGATCTGGTTCAACCAACCGGCCTAACTCTCGCAGCTTCTGTCACTACTTGAGACATCCCATTTGTTCTAAATGCGGTCAAGCAGCCCTATAATCCCACAGTTTTATACCACTCAGAATTCTCCCGTTCAGCCGACCCCGGCCTGTTGCCTATGCGGCATAGGTACCGTGCGTCAGGGGATACCATTTTGCACCAGACGACACACAAGGACAACATCACGATGTGAAAATCACAGCTGAGGCAGCTGGTAGTGCATCGTAGATTTTGCATTCAATACCGCGCCTCAAATACTGCAGGTTTCAGCTGCGATCTATCCATCATTCTCTTGAAACCTGTATCTTAACAATCGGTACACATCTCTCGACACCATCGACTCAGCCAGCCATACCAACCCATCATGTCTCCTATTTCTGGGTTACCAGCTTCCATTATAGAGAAGATTTTTACGCTATTCTGCCCGCATTGCCATCCTCCTCGTTCGTCATCAACTTATTGGGGCATGTACTGCAACGACAGCTGCCCAATTGGAAGACCCGAGCATGAGAGACGTCTTACGCTTGCCAATCTCTGCCTGACAAATAAAACGCTGAACTCAGTTGCCACGCCGATCTTGTATCATCGATTTCACCGGAGGAACGAGATCACGTTTGCGAGAACACTATTCAAATGGCGTCCGGATCTCACACAGCATGTCAAGTCGCTACACCTGGGCTCGGACGATGAGCTCACCTTCACATCTGGAAACGATGAAGTAGTACTCAAAGAAGTGATGACCCGAATCGATCACTTGCGCATATCACAAGACGAACCCAAGGAGGACGAATCAATGCTTCTGAGCCTGCTCATCGGCAAGTGCACCTACATCGAGGACCTATGTCTCACCGTCACCTGGAACGGATGCTACGACCCCGTGCCATTCTGCCCCCCGGGTTCTCTGCGGAATCTGAAGAGACTATCCCTATCACACTGGAATGATAACGGTGGTTTTGATCTCGCTTATGCGACGGAGATCTTCCTTGCTGCGCCAAACATCACATCTGTTTTTGCCTACGCCGTGATCAAGGTCGGCATGGGCTTGAAAATGGCGAACGTCACAGAAATCACACTTCGGAACAGCTTCCTCCAGATTGACGCGTTCAATCGACTACTGAAACAACTTCCGAGCCTGGAAAAGCTGACTTATTATGGTGGAGACGCCGGCATTATGGATGGGGAAACACCTCCAAGGGCGCGCGATGTGCAAGAGGCCATTCTGAAGCATGCTCCACGATTGAAGTTTCTGAAGCTCTTGATGCTCGAAGACGATAATTCGTACTATCGAGACGATGGCATCACTAATGAAGATATGATGAGGTCATTGAGGGCGTTGGAAGAGTTGCAAGCGCTGCGGCTCGACGCGCAATATCTCGTGGTTCCCTCTTACGAAGAAGATGAGACAGACATGGAACCGCGGACGCTGGCGAACATGTTGCCGGACTCAATCAGACTTGTGGGAATCGAGTGCGGTTATTATACATGTAGCACGAGGACCCTTCTGCCGGCGATTCTTGAACTCGGGAGGTTTTGCCAAGTCGAGTTCCCGTACTTGAGATCGGTGCGTGTTTCTGTTCTAGACGGTTTGGAAGAGGCACGGGAGCTTTTCAAGTGTAGCGGAGTCGAATTTATAACCGAATATGTATAAGAATCAGACTGATTTGGAGTCTCACAACATTCTGTGTATGTCTTGAAAAGTCTCGACTCGTGGTGGGACTTTTAGATGTCTGCTCATTGAAAACCTTGACCACAAGCCTCATGTCTAGTCTTCGTATACGTTCAGTCACGAAAGAAGCACATCGTTCTCGCGAGCGAACCTTGAAACCAGGTAGTGCGATATTGTTGCGTCAAGAAACAGCGGCTAGGATCTAGTCGGAGTCCGAGTCCTCTTTAATCTTCAAACCAGCGGTCAAATCGTAAAGCATCCCTGCCAAATTCTCCTCCAGGCCATCGTGCCGCAGCTCAAATATTCCGTCATCCGGATCGTAAGCCACCTGGTCAACATCATCCTGCAGTGCAAGCCAGGCCGCCAGAAGCGCACCCTCTACGAACCAAGTCTTCCGCTCCTCTAGATCCGGAAACGGCTCCTTGTAAGAGCCGAGATGACACTCCTGGGCCTTGAAAGCTTCCGTCCATCGCCTTTCCCACTTTTCAAAGGCCTCAATCCAAGCAGGGGAATATCGATATTTTAGACTCCGCAGGTCAATGTGAAACTCGCTCTCGGGGTTACCAGGCCATTTTGGACGATACCACAAGGCGGAGGTCCCATAGTCTGGGTCGATCAGGTAGCGTTAGCCAGACTGTGGGGGTTTTTGGCCTGGACCAACAGAATCGAGTTGGGCTTTGGACAAGTCGTCGGGGCGTGGATCTGGCACACCTAGCGGCTTAGATCCGGACGAGGCCTCGTATTCCAGACCTTCTGAACGAGACTGAGTTGGTAGTTGCGTATTTGATGCTGTTGTAGAATCTTTAAGGCGGAGGCACAGCTGTTTGCCGGATTGGTACTCTAACACCAAGCCGTAAGATGTTTCTAAAAAGAAGTGAATTGTCGTAGATTGGGATCGAGCAAGTAGCATAAGAGCTTTGAGTGAGGCGATGTCAGCCATTGTAAAAACTTATGATGAATTGACTGATACGAAAGATGCAGATCTGAAAACACCTCCACCTGCGGGGAGTGTGGTATGTATTAATATTCGGTCATTGGGGCTGAGGCGTGGCTGTGGAATCATTTAAGCGCCAACGACTCTTCTTTTCACTGACAGGGGTAGCTCACCAGCCGGGATTATTCCGACTTCAACAACGACGAAAGGAAAGGTTTCTGATATTTTGAGATAACCTGGGATAAAGTGAGTCGCGCGCGCTAACATAAATCCTCCCGATCATAAGCGGCAAGTTCCAACAGAACCCAGCAGAGACAGTAATGGGCCTCTCGGAGAGGAGATTCTTCAGAAGCCTGGACGAAAGCCAGGCCAGCAAAGACCCGGTCCGACCAGAATACCCCACCCACAAGGATACTGGCGCTAAGTTCCAACAGAACATTTTGGTGTTGACAAGGGCTTGTGTCGATGAAACCAACCGCGCCAGCAGCGCGTATCCGCTGGAAAGTGATGGCCTGGGCCGCCATCGCCTGGCGTTAAATCGGTGGTCCCAACGAGTTGCTGCAGGCGGTTAGAGTTGTCACTACGATTTCAGACGGTCTTCCAAAGAAGATTGACAAGCTCGGTGTGCGTTGATAGAAGTATATCTTGCAGGAATCCCAGCTTAATGGCATTATGGAGATGAAATCAAGGAAGCAAGGAAATCCTCACACATTCATTCATCTCTACTTTTCCAAATATCACCTACGTTTCTTCGACACAGTTGATGTTATCATCGATTCACCATGTCTTATCTGTGAGTCCATTCAAGGACTGCAGCACGGCCAACTCACTGACCCCGTACCTTTAGGCAATCGGAGTCCACTAAGCGAGTGATCGACAATATTCAACGAGATGGTCACAAACTTACCCCCAAGAAGACCATCCGGGCATGGCATCTTCCTGCAACTAGCGAACTTCCTATCCCAGCCGATGCGAGCGTCCGTCCAGGCAACCTGTGGCTGGAGGAAGGCAATAAGAAAGCTGGCTTCAAGCAAATGAAAGTACCGGACAAGAAATCGGCTTTTGAAGGCGTGGGAATCCCGGTCAAACAGCAGCGGGAGAAGCTGCCGGCTATGTGCGAGGCCATGACGACAGCTGGGCGGCATATCGGCTGCCAAAGCGAAGATCACCCTACACCGCGCCCGGTCATGGCCACTTACATGGATGGGCGAGTGATTAAAGCGTCTTTGACAGTTGGAAGTAATGGATTTGTGGTGGGAATGAATCCTCAGGGCTCGAAGCTGCCAACGTCGGCATGTGCCCGCGGCGAGGTCAGTGATCGGACGATGGAAAAGCTGTATAGTTATCCCCTCAACTGCCCTGATAGACGACGCACAGATGAAGCGAAAAGGGGGATGATGGAGGAGAAGGAACCGGCAGTAGCAAAAGCCAAGACTTGTCACTTTGGTAGGTTCTCTAAGGGATAGAAATGTAATTTCGCAGCGAAACTTTGTTCTCAGCATCATCAATGTCTCTGATGCACATCTCGCCCTTATTTCTACGGCTGATGTCGGTGCAAACTTTTCTGTTATTATTATTATTTAACGCTTGCTACGTCCGTTGCTCGATGATTAGTTTCTTAACTGATTCAATTCATGGGCCTTATTTTAAGAACGCAATATCTCATACATGCGGCCATTGATAAATGGACTGTCAGCTTTGTCGTCCGCAGCTGTCTTGGTGATGTCGCTCTTCCAGCTAATTTGCCTAGGCTAGACATGGAGCTCGGGGAGTGTGCAATGAAACAAAAGTGGCGTTACATTATTATTTGACGAATATCACAGAAGTCTCCGTTATGGCCAGACCAGACATGACGAAACCGGGTGGAAAGACGTAAAACTCAAGCTTAAGCATTGGCAACAAATGTGTTTCCCAACGTCACAAATCGCGACCAATTCTCTAATCAAATATCTGAGGTTGTAGATGGAACCCGTCCAACACTTGAAGAAAGGCAAAAGGATTGATTGTCGTTTCGTGTATTACTAGAGCTCAGTTTTATTTGTAAATAGTTGATGGTATGTCCGAGTATCATTGATTAATGCAGTCGTACTAATGGTTTCTACGAGTACTCCTTTGGGTTCGCATAGCAGATGCATGCACGCGTCTCATGAATTAGGTAGACAGCCTGCCATCAATGGCCAGTTGCAGCCCCAGTCGCTTCTCTCAAGCGGTCGTGGTGTTGTATCCGATTCCAAGTCCGACAGGGCAGTTAGGCACATCAGCCTGCCAGGTGGCACTCTCCTTTGCATACTTGGGCAAGTAGGAGTTGGTCGTGAATGTCTAGTAATGTGTGAGTCTTCAGTTGTCTTTCCCAGCGTTGTTTACGCCGTGAGAGTGAACTTACGCTTGGGAGATAGTAAGAAACGTCAGCAGAGGTGTAGTTGGCTCCCAAAGACTGCAAAACAGTCACAACTGAACCGGCAATGTAGTCCAGGAAGATCAAGTCAATCTTGGTATCATCTGAAATCGATCCATCGCTAGGGAAGCTGCCGTTGGCCTGAAAGAAGTTCGGATACTCGTAGACCGGGATCTCGCTGTGGATGGTGTCGTCGCCATCGGTGCCAAAATCATCGGATGTGGTGTATCCCGGAGTAATGTCCTGTCGACGAACGATGCGGCCTCCGGCGTAAGATCGCCTTGCAAAGTGGTCGTTGGTGACTGGCGGGTCAATGCAGCTGTCGACGGAAGACAGAGCAGGGTTGAATTTGGTGAAGCCGAGAGAATCCTTCGTCAAGGAACGCTTCTTCTTTGAGGGGAAGGCTCCGGACTCCAAGTTGCTGAGAATCTGGCTAGCATACGACCAGGGAACGTCGGGGATGTACTCGAAGGCGTCGGTGAAAGGGGAGACGATGAATGAGGAATCGTAGTCGAAGGGGCCCTGTACAAGGTCGAATCGGATGTGGCCGGTGTTGGCAATGATGATTCTCGGCGTGGACTTTCTCTCCTCGGTGATGATCGTGGCTGCGAGGGCAGTGGTCGTCAAGTTGAACATGGATCCTTCAGACATGAAAAGCGCACAATCGATGCACCAAGTCTGGGGAGCGCAGCCGTAAAGAGTCGTCAGGTTGAGATTCTTGCGCTCAGATGTGATCTCTTGAGTTACACTGACGCCCTTGGACGTGTTGAAGGCCTTGGCCTGGCTGCCGACGGCGTGGTACTCGAATGTCAGAGTGTTCCTGAGAAACCGTTAGTCATCTGCAAGTATAAGTCCCATCATGATCTTACCAGTCCAGGTAGCGACGGAAGTAGGTCATGGTGGAGTTGCCAGTCGCAGAGGCAGGGCTGCTCGAGGACGTTGTCGTGGCCACGGCAACCGCCTTCTGGGCAGGATGAGGGACGCCCTTGGGGTACACCGCGCCCTTGTAGTTATCGGACTTGATGCCAGACATGGACAGAAAGCCCAGAGTCTCGCAGTACCTTCCGGACTCGAGAGCAGTCGACTTGTCATCGTAGACGGCGAAATCACGAATGTGGGTGTGGCCACCGAAGAACTGAACAGGCGTGTCGGGCTTGATAGCTCGGATGGCGTCAAAAACAGTCTTGAGCGTGCTGCTGCTCTGAGTTGGGCGGACAGGGTTGTGCCCGATGACCAGGTAAAGATCAACAGGCTCGCTGTAATCGACAGCACTCAAAAACCAGGGCTGCTTGACCATGGTCGCGGCCTTGGTGACGACTGAAGCATTTGAGTTGCCGGTGAAGTCGAAGAGAACGCCAAACGCCATAATTCTAAGGCCTGGAAAGATGATTAGGCTCCTATGAAACGGCAACTGCATCTCGTAAGAGCAACTTACCCTTCGGCGTGGTGAAGTAACGATATTGCTTGCCAATGTACTCAAGCGCGCCCGTGCTGGGGTTGCGGATTTGGACATTGCTAGTGACGTATCTGTCACCGTAGACCTTGGCGAACTGGCTGAAGGTCTCGTATGCGATGCTGGAAATGTACAGCTCGTGGTTACCAATGGCCAGCACATCGTAGTCGATGTTCTCGAAAATGGGGTTCGAAATCTGGCCATTGACACCAGTGCCGTTCGCGTAGGTGGAAACACCAGTGGCGTCGCTGAGGCCTGCACCATCGTGCAAATCCTGATATTGTCAACATCATTTCGCCGAGAATGAGATCGCTCCAACATACTCCAGTGTCAACGACCAACAAATCAACGTCAAGGTCTTCGGCCTTCTGGCGCATGTGCTTGACGAAGCTCACGAAGTCACCCCAGTCGGCCCCATAGTTCTGCTCACGGATGTGGCCTTCCAGCCTGCATAATTGAGTCAGTATGGGATCACTGGGATTTCCGATGAAGGACGAACCAGCCGTGGGTATCTGAACCACCGTTGTCAGCTTGTATGTTCTCAACCCCGTGTCATTGAATGCGACGTACCAGTCGTATGGAGAAAGTTCAATTGACCCCATGACAGAGGGCCGCGAGGAGCGACTGCAGCAGCTTGGGCATCAGGTTGCGCCCTGCGAACATGTCTCGTCAACACCACATCCCTCTCGGGGTGTTCGCAGCTATCGCAAGCCAAGACCGGGGTGGAAATGGCAAGGCCAAGCGACGCCAAGATGGTATTCGTAAAACGCATCTTGAGAACTCTAAAACGACCGATCCAATGAAAGAACGAGCCAGGCCGCGCAAAAGAACGAGAGGAAAACCGACGGCCACCTGGAGATGCAAGCGTTTTCCCGACGGACGGGTGTTGCATGCAGCCAAGCTCTTAAGAGGATGCAGCTCCCGCGCAAACAAGCTTTTCTTGGCGACCGCCGCCCGCCGGTATCTTTGCACGCATCATTCCGCGCTGACGCGGCGAGCCGATAAACGCTCATCCATGTGGCGGCCGAAGTCGCATTGGCTATCATCCAGAGAATGAGATTGCCCGGGCACGTGGGGGGGATCAGCATTCATGAATCGATGCTACTGAGCTTCCTATTGCTGTCTAGCGCGGCCAATATCCGCCGTCAGCGACCCGCA